TTTTTTTTGTTTTTCTTCCAGCACCATTGAGATCGTGCCGATAGTTTCCATGACTACTTTTTTCATCAACAAAATGTCCTGTTTAAAAGCACATTTTTAATGTTGATTGCTCGCCGGCTAAACTACAAATCTGACCTTAATTTGTGGCAAGAACATTCTGATGTTTTGATGTGCCCTACTTCTGATTGCTGGCACAAACTCACAAATTTAGCAGAGCAGTAAATTATCGACACTAATCGGTTTAGTCGACCATCAAAGCACATCAGAGCACCAATGTAAAAGAGAGGAAAAAGAAAAAGAGATGAAAACGGTAGCACAACTTTCGATAGATCAATTGATGTGCTTCATGTGCCGCTGCTGATCTATCAAGCTCTGTATATCTACCTTTTGGTTTATTAATTTCACCACAACCAGCACCAGCACCAGCAGCATCCCCATTCGACGTGATTGATTCGTCGAAACGGCATCATTTGCCGCACACACAGACACAGACACGGAATCAGCAGACTAACGGCACACTTTCTTCTCAAGAGCACTGAGCAAATAAAAGAAAGTTTTTGATAGATTTGCCATCCTCATTTATACGTCAGCAGCGGCAATCAGCGGTACTTTTTCTGGCCTTCATCAGTTCTTTTCTTTTTTCTTTTCTTGTTGTTGTTGTTGCAGCCAATGACCATTGCGTTTGTTGGTGGGTTTCAATAGAAATCTATTTCGATTCTAGATTAATATGCTTAATGGAACAATTTGCCCTCAGTTTTTGCCTGTCTGTCTACCTGCATAGCTCACACACACAAGGTCATATTGACAAGCAATGGTATTATTACTTTTACTGTTGATGGTGGTGCTACCCACAAAGAGAAGTAGTCGAGAATGGCCAAAAACTTGAATGAACGGTAAAACTTGATTAGTTTGCGCCCAGCAAAATTCAATGAAATTCTTGTGAATTCCTTCTGTGGAAGCTTAATGAAAGCAAAACAAAAAGCAAAAGGTCAGTAAAACTTTTTGCTGAAAATATAATAAATAATTTAATAGAAGCAAAAAAACATATTTTTTTTAAAAATTTGCTTTACTGACAAATTAAGTTACTGCGCTGTGTGTGTGCGTACGTGTGTGCGCCAGCGCAAGTGCTGGTCGAGTGATCACTTAAAAGTGTGGTTTCTTGTTAATTGAAATCAGTGGACATCAGCAGAAAAAGAAAGATGGTCTTGTAGTATTTTCACTAGGCAAAAAGTGTAAATCTATAAAGAGAAAAAGAGTGTCGAGTTGCAAATTGGTTGCAGGAAAGCGAACGTCGCATCGTGTGATGAGTGAGATGTGAGAGAGGCTGCACACTGCTGCCATAATTGGCCGCCGCCGTCTCAATACGCAAACACAATGGACAGGTGCTGGCTGGCTGGTTCACTGTGTGTGCTGGCTGGCAAATTCAATTAATTCCTTAAAATTGCGTCTGAATGGACAAATTGTCCAATTAGGCGATCGGTGTGTGTGTGTGTGCACTGTGGGGCGAAAAAGAGAGATGGCAAGTGGCCCGCAAACAGACCAACGGCACAGTGCAGCACACCAAAGACGAAAAAGGCCTCCTTTTCGTTTTTCCTCTGTCCACAAAAGGCTCACCGACCACACAGTGCAGCACCATTCCATCTGAGAATCACAGCACAGCACACACACACCCAAACAGACAGTCTGCTTTTTTGCTGAATTAATTAAATCGATTATTCTTTTGCTATTTGAACATCGATTATTTCATCAGCAGTGCTGAGGACCCCCAGTTGAAGCTGCAGCGGCGACAACAGTAGCAGAAAGCGCAAAAAATAGCAAAATTGGCGTCAGCAGCAATATATGCACAAGCAGCGCCCACTGGGCTACCTTTTTCCTACGTTTTTGTTGACCTCAGCAGAAAAGAATCACAGCACCAGTGGTGGTGACGTTGCAAGCGGCAGCACCTCAAAGCACTATGGCCACTACCGCCAACAGTAGTGCTAGTGGTGTACCTCTTTTTTGGCAGACGAGGTCAGGTGGCTAGAGATTTTGTTCTATTTTTGCTGGTGCTGTTGTTGCAAAATCAGTGTCCATCATCATCATCATTGTCAGTGAGCATGATTTCCCTTTTTCGGTGATTGGCTTTGCTGAGACGGCACGATCTGCGGCAACGTGCCTTCTCTCTGCCAATTAATTAGCATACCACCACCACCACCTTCTTTTCTTCCTTTTCCTTCTCTTCTTGGTTCATTTTCCACCTCTACAAATTTGACAGGGTGAGGTGAAGTAAAAGAGAGTGGTGTAGTTTTGCTGTTGTACTCGTCAGCACTGGTCGAGCACAGCTCTAGTTGCTGGCAGCACTCAATTATCACGCCAATGAGTGCGCAATGCCATTGCTGCTAATTGTAAATTGAATTAAATCACGGCACTTGATTTGTCTGCTATCACTTTTTTACTCTTTCTTCAAATTAGATTACAATTACGCCATATTGTGCATCTGATAAACGGCTACGGGCAAAAATGGAATTAATCCTCTCGTGCACCCTTCGCTAGTCGCTGCATCTTTCTAAATTAAGCTTCTTTTTCAATGTGCTTTCTTTTTGTTTCATACTTTCAAGCCTTTGTTTAGAGCTAACTGTATGTTTGTGCGTCTGTGTTTGTGTACCATGGCAATTAGAGTGGACCCGGATGGGCGCACAAATAAAATAAAAAACGCTCAAACACTGCTCTAACGGTGTGAGCTGCAGAAAAAACGGGCAAACAAGCTGAAACTTTGTAAGAGGAATACAAGAGCGGAAAAGTGGGTGCCCGTTCTAGAAAGTATTGTAAAACAAGCTCACAGCTTAAGCTGTTCAGTGTTCAGCTAATAAGTTGTGCAAATTGCCTCTCACTCATTACATGAGCGCTACTGAAAAGTGTTTGTGTGTACGCTGCAGTCAACCGCTTGAAGTCATAAATATCAAAACGAAAGTAAAGAAGAGGAGAAAGGAAAAGGAGAAATTGAGTGAATAGCATGAAAGAAATAAACTTGTCAGTGGGATAGGTGTCAGGCACTTGGGGACGTAGTAGTGTAGCAATGAATAATTTTAGAATTTGCAGTCTATTAGAGTGAACAATGAAAAATGGGGCAAGAGGAACTGAAGAGAAGAAGAAGTGCGCACTTCGATTTGATTCAGACAGTGCCATCAATAATCGATATTACATTTTGGTGATGTATGCACCTTTGCATTCACTGTATTCAGTCATTTGAATATGCACCTCTAGTGCTCTACTCTACACTCGTGAGTGAGTGAAAAGTGGCACACATTGCTGTGATCGCATCGCCGCCAGTCGCAGCACACAATGGCCAGCCAACACACACAGCCACTGACGATTCCTTCTGTTCCTGGTGACTGACTGCGCCCTGTGTGCTGACTTTTGCGTCCTAGTCTTCATTACATCTTAGCAATGGCAGCAGAAGCAGAAGCAGCAGTTTTGTCAATTGACTGAGCAATGATTCCGATGATCAGCAGACTTGTGCTTCAATTTCTGCTGCTGCATTCAGCAGCCAGTCAATTGTCATTTCAATTGTGTGTTCCTTCTCTCTTTCTGACTGTCATTTTTACAGTACTATTTAAATATTTTAAAATGATTTTATAACTTTTCTCCCCCTTTCCTTTTTTTGTGCACAACGGTTCTAACCAATACTTTTATATTTGATTATTTATTCATTTTAGGTGCGCACCCTTTTTGTCAGCGGATTGCCCATGGATGCCAAGCCCCGGGAGCTGTACCTTCTATTTCGCGCCTACAAGGTAAGCTGTGACATTTTTTCTTTTCTTTTTCTTCTTTTCTGTCTACTGTTTCTTCTTTTTTGTTCTTTATCGTTCAACATTAGTACTAGTAGTAGTGGTAATAGTGGTGGTGAGAGAGTACACAAATAGAGAATATAAGCTTACATGCCGTTTTGCAACGTAATGAGCCATTTATTTATTTATGTCATTAGTAGTTCTCCTCTGAAAAAAAGCGAGAATGAGGCGATTTTAATATGCTCTTTCGATTGCTCGCCACCGAGTGCACATACGCAGACTGCAAATACGCACACACAAGCTGTTCAGTGAAGGAGCAGTCAGTGAAGGACAGGGAACAAATGTGTCATCCAGGAAAACAGTGCCGCGGCGTGCTGCTAATAAATAAACGGCGACACAATGGCGGTGTGTGCATGATGTCGGCGACAGGAGAATAAAGAAGGAAAAAGAGAAAAAGAAGAATAAAACAGAGAGGATGCACACAGTCAGCCAGTCAGGTTCATTCGTTTTGCTGAGAGGACATGACTGCTGCTGCTGCTGCTGTACAAGTATACTTTCATCTGCAGCAAGGCAGAAACGGTGTTTAGAACGGCAGCAGTGGAAAGTGCACCTAGACAGACAGACACCGACCGACAACACCGGTATGCTGTGTTTGGTCGGTGGCAGTTGTCGAGGAAGCAGTGTCCAGTGGCGGCCAGTGTCGCCTGATGGATGAATTATGACACCGCGGCGATTGTGATTGCAAATCGCGACATGTGCGTGTGTGTTGTGTGTTGTGTGTTGTGCTGCCGTCCTTCTTGTCCACTAATGGCCACCTCGGTGTCAGTGTTTTTGTCTAAAAGACTGCTTTCTTCTGGCCACTGTCTCTCTTTCTTTTTCTCTCAGTTGTTTTTTCCTTTTTGCGCAGAAACGGCGCAGAATTAATCAGCGGCGAGTGGTGAAAAATCGAGTCACCAGCGTGGCCATTTTGCCGTTGAGCAGACAACTTTCTGGCAAGCATAAGCAGCCGCCGCCGCAGAAGCATAACTGATTTCGGCGTAAATGGGAAGACTCCTGACTCTGCTCAGACTGCTGAGACTGCTTTGTAATGACCAATTGGGCCGTTGCCGCCGCCGCCGTAATGGTGACGATAATAATGATGGTGATTATGATGGCCGATAATATACTGCTCAGCAGGAGAGTGTCAACACTGAGTGAATCAGTAGTTGGAGAGGAGAGAATAGATTGCCCACAACAGGGAAAAAATGGTGCCGGTGAACAAGGACTATTATACTTCAACTAAGAGTATGTTGGCGGCAAGAAATGAGATATTTCTGAGCGGCGATGCGACAATTGACTGGCGCCCCTTGCCTTCCTGCCTGTCTTTCCTGCTACCCGACGACACTTGTCCATTTGCAGCATGTCAGCTCCAAAAGCACCTTTTTGCACACAACGACGTGTGCATCGATTGAATTGAATCATTTTTCCAAAGGTGCACTACCGCCACCACCACCACCATCATCAGCGTCATCTCAACAAGGCACACTCATTTGTTTGTCGATGACACCATCGTTGCTGCTGTTGCTGCTGCCGATGTGGTCGGCACATCGACCGACCACTTTTTTCTGTTAGGAAACCCAAACGGCAACCATCTTTTGCAGGTTTTGCTGTGCTTTATGAGTGGGCTTTTTTGTGTGCTTTTTTTTCTGCACACTTTACATACACTTTCAGTGCAGTCGCAGTCACTTTCTTGCCAGTTATTAATCGATATGCTCGCTCTGATGACTGCATATTTTACCGCCACCACTACTTTTGTCACTGCCATAAAAACTGCAACTTTGCGGCGGCAATCCTGTTAATTTGCCCAGTGGAATATGCTTTTTTAATTCGCCACTAATTGGCGTTAAATGCAGACCCTCTGTGTTTGGCTTAGCACACACACACACACGCTCATACAAACCACACACAAACAGGCACAAGCAACACAAACTGTTTTTTCGTAATTTATTTAATTAAGATTACGTTTTAATTGCGACAAAACTGTAGAGCACGAGCAAACGAGTACGAGAACGCTTAGCGTTTTGATGAGCCCCCTATTCACAAAAAATGATGGCGGTAGTGGGTTTTAGTGTTTGGCAAATGCAGATTGACTCAATTAGTAGAAAAGCAAATTTCAATTAAGTGTTTTATAAGGGACTCTCTCAAGTATTCTGGAACCTTTAAGTTACTTTTTTTTCCGGTTGTGCACTGTGCAAAAGTGACCGAGAGGGAGAGTAAAAATATTGAGGAAGTGAGTGAGTGTGTGTGTGTGTGTTGTTCCTATTAGCCGCAGAACCAAGCAAAGTTATCAGAACCTGGCTCAAAATGCCAGCACTGCTAAGAAAAATTGCATATGCTCGAGATGGCATCAGTACTTGCACAGTCTTTCAGACACAAAGTTGCAGTGCTTGTTGACGTAAGTATTGCCTGCTTGCTGCTGGCGCAAATTGTTGGCCGGTTATTTGGCAGCAACGGCGGACAAACGGTCGACAGGAGTGTGCCTAGGGCAATCCAGTGCCGCTTTTTGCCGATGAATAAACTCTATTCACCAGATTGAACGGTGAAAGGACTTTGTTCATTTGCTGCTCACCGCCAGCACTTCGGGCAAAACTTGGGCCAGCGTTTCGGCCTGAGCTGAGCACTTGATTAATTCTCAAATTTATCATTCTGTCATGCAAAGCCGATGAGGGAAACAAGGTGCTGATGCGGTTGCTGCGGTTACAAGAGCAGTGTGCTAATGAAGGAGCAAGTGATGGTGAAAGAGGCTGATCTGAACTGATGACAGTGCCGAGCTCAAACCTATTGCCTTTTTTGTGGCGCTAACTAAAGTCATTTAGGTTATTTTGTGGCACAGTATGTCTTGCAGACATTGCTTGCCAATTGACTCTTTCATCGGCTCGGTTTAGCGCTTGACTGCACCGCACTTTTTTTCTTTCTTTGCGATTGGCTCACCGGCTAATCAACTTGTTATTACCACTGCTAATCTTCCCAATTTACCCTATATTCTCTTCATCTTTTCTAGACAAAACTCTTTTTTTATTTTATTTTCCTTGTCATCTCGCATTATATTTTCTGTCCCTTGTGCTGTGTCTTTGTGTGGTGCACCGTCGGTGCATCCACTGGAAAAGTGATCGCCAGAAAAGTTTTGCTGAAATGATAAGGAAAGGCATTGAAAAGAGCATTTCAGAAAGTAAAGCTGCAAGACTTTGCCGGAGACTGTAGAGAAGCATTTGTGCTGTCTCCACCACTTCCAATTACCTGTTCTAACACACTAGTAACTAGATTTGGAGCAGTATATTTTGCCTCAAACAGTGCTGCTAACATAATTAAAATTTTACTTTTGCAAAAATACTTTTATTAGCCAAAGCGATGCATATTTTTTTCAGTGCGCTAAAAACAGTTCACCTGAAAAAAGTGTGCCTGCTAATTTGACAACCGAGTACGAGAAAACCGTGAAAAGAAAAGCTAAAGTTAAATTTTAACAAGAGCTGTAGAGATTAGTGCGAGTGTTAAAAGAGTTTAGAGGAGTTTAAAAGAAAAAGAAATATGAACCAGACGGCAAAAAAGGCAGCAGCAGCAATCGGCAATGATTGAATTGATTAAATTGCTCATTACGGTTTACATAAATTTGAGTCTATAAGAGCAAATCGAATTATTGCCTAGTGCCGCAAATGTGGCTGCTGCTGTTGCTCTGTCTAAAGTGACTAAGTCAGCGTGACTTATTGGATTGCAGTGCAAAAAACCTTTACTCAAACATGTTGCGGAAAAAAAGAGTAATAAAAACTGCATTGAAGGTTACTTTGAAAAAGAAAGTCAATTTTTTGGCAAAGCTTTCTAGAGTTATAAAGAAATGATGCAATTAAAAACAGAAAAGTATGAAACTTCACCGAATTGTTAATTAAGTGCAAGCTTGCGATTAATAAAGACGTCTGCTTTGAATTGCCTTTTTACTGACTTTCCGCCGTTTGCCTTTTCTAATTTCTTCTTTTTTGTATACAGGGTTACGAAGGATCGTTGCTAAAGGTGACAAGCAAAAATGGAAAAACGTCTTCGGTAAGCATCAGCACCAGCTTGAAGTGCATGAATACTGCGGCGGGGATGAATAGAGTGCAGAGAAGTGCACAGCTGCTGAATGGCATACACAGTCACTAATCGGATCGATGGTATTTGTGCCCCATCTTTCTCTTTTTCTCTTTTCTCCCTTCCCTTTCATCTCTTTCCTCACTTGACATCACACAAAACATTAGCCCGTTGGTTTTGTCACCTTTTCAACGCGAGCTGGAGCAGAAGCAGCAAAGCAGGACCTGCAGGTACGTACTACTACAAACCGACAAACAGGGCAAAAGTGCAAGGCAAAAGGAAAAACTGAAAAAGCTTCTAACACGAGCTTAGAATTCTTTTTCCCAGTCAACTTCACTGCAGCAGCATAATATTTCGAGTCGTCATTCTCTCTCAGTTCTTCTCAATTTCATCATCGTATTTCTAATGCACTTCACTTTGTCTATTTTTCACTCTGTGCACATCTCACCACCACTGCCATCACTACCATGACATATCTGTCGGCCACTGCAGCAAGGAATCCGCTTCGACCCCGACCTACCGCAAACCATTAGACTGGAGTTTGCCAAGAGCAACACTAAAGTGAATAAACCTAAGCAGCCTTCACCCACTGCGCCGACCTCGTCTCACCCGGCACTTGCAATGCATCCACTCACTGGGCGTAAGTTGCACTGGTCTAATCACCACTCACTATTTAAACCACACTGATCACCTTTATCTGACCTTTATCACTAACTCACCTTATCTCACCAATTCTAACCGTCTCTCCAGTGGACCTAGGTGCGGCACTCTTCTCTGGCGCCCACGACAGCTGGGCCCCGCACCCGATGTCCTTTCCGGAGATGACCTCTGCGCTGCACTCACATGCTGCACTAGTTCATCCTGCACTTCACGCCCAGCTTCCGGTAAGTCCACTGAGATGCACTTCTCTACCTTTTTCTTTTCTCTCTTTCTATTTATCTATCTTTCTATCAATCTGTGTGTGTGTGGTTGTGTGGGGGCAGTGTTCAGTCGGTGGTGGCTGTCACCGTTCACTTCACCTCACTTCATTTATATATAATACTCTTAACTACTTTGTCTTTGACTGAACCTACTTACTTATGCGTAAACTCTGTTTGTTGACCTGTTACCTCCTGCCCCTCCTGAACTGCCTGGCTGCTGCAATTGACCACCTCACCGACCGTCACCATCACCACTTTCACCACCACCATTTCCATCACTTCCGATGACCACAGCCGCAGTTAGCAGTGCCGCACCCGATCAGCCACGGTCACCACGCGGCAGCACTAGCGAACCAGGCGGCCCTGCACGGAACCATTCCGCCGTCGCACCTGGTGGCGGCGAGCACTGCCATCGCCAGTCCCGTCGGCTCGACCACCTCCACCTCCAATTGCAATACGCCGCCCTGTTCGACGCTCTTCGTCGCCAACCTGGGCCAGTTTGTCTCGGAGCAGGAGCTGAAAGATCTCTTTGGAAGGTATCCCGTTTTGAGCCACTCACCTAGCGATCAGTTGTTCCAGTGACAGGGCTGCCAACGCTGCCGCTGCTACTGCTGCTGCTGCTGCTGTTGCCACTGTTGTTGCTGCCACTGCGACCATTCCTGCTGAACTCCTCTGCGAACCTCCTCTATCTATTCTATTCTATTGCATAATATTCTGTTTTAAACATTACCTAAAAAGTACCTAGAACCTCGACAGCCTCAACAGTTAACAGGTTTTAACGCAAAAAGTTAAGTCCGTTAAACTAAACTAGCTCCTCAAACACACACATTTAAACATTATTTTGACACACCCACACATTTTTAAGACTTTTGCACTAACCGGCAAAGTGTCCAACACTGTACAGCAGCAGCAGTAGTAGCATCGTTTGCATCGTTGCAGCAGTAGCGACCTTAGGTCAATCTTTTTGGGCAGTTTGCAGGCAAGGAGTAGTGAGCACACCCAGTTGTCTCTTTCTTTATTCATTGTAGCACCAGGCCGCAGCCCAGCCCCAGCCGCACTTCTCCTTCACAACCACTCACAACCATACCAAATTGTGCAGTCGTATTGATGCATGTTTTTCTCCTCTTTCTCTTTCCTCCACTTTTCTCTCTTTCTCTCCAACTAACACCACCACCACCACCACTACAACTCCTGGGCCGTGGCGCACACACATCATTTTCATTCACTGACTGACTGACACACACACTGATCTACTCCTTCTTCTCTTGTTGTCTTGGGCACAATTCAATTGTGTGTGTGTGTGTGCATTCAATCCAATTTGCACTGAGCGTAGCTTCCCTGGATTTTGCCGCCTTCGGATGCATAACAAGAGCGGAGCACCGGTTGCATTCGTTGAATTCACGGTATGAGAAAACAAAATCTATGTCGTACACAAATCTTTTTATCCATCTGAACACACTGTTAGCGCACGAGCACCAGTTCTTCTTACTGCCTGCATGAACCTACTTTGCTTGCACCTGCTTCTTTTATAACTTTTAACCTTCTCAATGCTGCTCTCTCACAGACACAAACAACAACACTTTTAACATTTCCACATTTGAACTCCTAACTGTCAATAAAACTACCAGAATTTACTAACCTCCTCTTTTTCTCCGGTTCTTTAGGACGTTCGCCTAGCATCGCACGCCATGGGCACTCTCAACGGGTACGTCCTTTTCTCCTCTGACCGTGGCGGGGTGCGCATCGAGTACGCAAAGAACAAAATGGGCGACGTGAATGCAGCGGCAGCGGCGGCGGCGATGTCTGGGCAGCATCCCCACCACCTGCAACACCACCACCACCACCACCCGCCCTCCAGTGTGAACTCGGTCAGTCCGGTAAGTTTTGCTGGCGGCTCCGGTCCGTTCTACCCAGCTACTGCAGTCCACCTGCCCTGCCATCTCGTGTGCCGCACTGAATCACAGTCCCCTGTCGGATTCAACAGGTACACAACACAACTACAACAACAACACCCAAAGTTCCGGGCGTCCTGCCTGGCACCGTGCGCCCTAGATGGCGCATCGGTGACTATTACTGCTTGCTAGCATTTTCCAATTCTCGTTCAATTTTCATTATCACTAATTACTCTCTCCTTTTGCGACTTGCAGATTAGCCATGAGTGATGGTGCCATTTGAAGTGCTCTTGCCCTCTTTCTCTATCACCACTACTATCAGCAGTTTCTCGAATCTCAGCAAATCGTCCACATATCAAGCTCTTATATCTTTTTCTGTTTGAAATCTCCTCCTTTTCCTCTTCGGACGACCACACACCTCTCCTGACCATCGACTTTGATTCGCTGATTCTTTCTATCATTTGATGTTGTCCCAACTGTAGAGCCCTTTAGTAGTCGCCTATGCCTCTACCTTCTCATCTTCCCCCTCTTCTGCGAGGTCATAATTTACTTATAATACTACCAGAACAAACAATACTTTCTCAACGAATCTTTTGATACTTACTACTGATTACTACTTATTATATTACTTATCACCCCATTCCATTATATTCTTCTGATTTCCCAAGTCAAGTTCACACAATCTCTAACTTAGCAAAAGCCCATCGTTTTATATATCTGGAAGTCTCAATTTATGTCTGTTATTACCCTTTTCTGCTATTTTTTCCTTTGTAACATTGCTCTCTTTCTCTTTCTTTGATCTCTTTTTCTTTTGAATTCTTTTGCCCAATATGTTTTTGCAAGTCAATGTGTGATCAATTTCATCTCGAATATCCCAATCGAATCATAGTCAAACTATTACCAGTTGACACCAGCAGTGTTTCAGTGTCGCTGTCCCCTATGAATTCATCAAGGTGCTATCGACTTCACCTAGACAATGTCCATCTCTAGTTAACAGATGATGCGACAAAGTGTCCAGGTGTCCTCTTGATGTACAAAACATTTCCGTTTTCGTTTCCTTTTTCTTCTTCTTCTGCTGTTTTTCCTTTCTATCTTTTAATCCTTTTCTTTTTTTGTAAACACAAATTTTAATTTTATCTTCAATACTTTGCCCTCACATACACACACACATTCCTTCAGCCAACACTCATTTTGTTGGCTGCTTGTAATTGCAGTGACAATCTCTCTCTTTTCCAGTGGCAACCACACTTGCTGGTGCTCCGGTCCAGTGATTATTCCTTTGGCGCAACATTCTCTCTCCCCTTTCTCTTTCTTTTCAGTTCAATTTTGTTCGTCAATTTACTCTGCTCTGCATATTAACACACCTACCTAAACTACCCTACTGATACCTGACCGGCCCAAATGTGAGCTCATATGCTTGCCACTTCTCGATATCCAATAGCAATAACGGCAATAGTATTTCACTTGTTAGAAGTCTCCATCACCACCACAACAATCACCTCCATTTCTCCCCATTCCTCAGTCCATTTTTGTTTGTATGTTATCCTCATGACCATTCTTTCTCTGCTCCCCATTGCTCATTTTTAGCCCTGCTAGCTTTGGATCATTAAAAAACATTTCAATTTTGTAGCATCAATTCTTCTGTCAAGTCGCCTTTGTTTGACTTGTTTGTAAACAAAACTTAGTTTGCTTTTTCTTTCTTTTATCTCAAACAAAAAATTACAAAACAACAAACACATTTTTTCTGTTTTCTGTCCCCACTCTACCCACTGTTGAGGCCACGCTACCAGTTTCTATTGGATTTCCGTCCAAAAGTATTCTGCAATCGATCTACAATCCAACTGAATCTGATTCTTCACTTTGCACTTTGCACCCGCTCTCTCTCCCCTCTGTGACCAATCAATATGGACCTGAGCAGGAGGCTCCTAAACGCCCCCTGTTCAGCTTCAGATCACGCCTCGACTCGATCCGCTCGACCGCTGCTTGCCTCAACTCTGACTCTCTCTCTCTCTCTCTCTCTCTCTCTCTCAACCTTCTCTCGAGCCAACTTGACTTTGTGCTTGTTTGGCCAACATTCTCTCTCTCTCTCTCTCTCTCTCTTTCCCCTTTCTCTTCTGAACCCTAACCGAGCTAAACTCTCTTTCTCTCATCTCTCTCTCTCTCTTTCTCTCTTGTAATCTTTAATTTAATCTATAATATTATTATAACAATAAATCCCTTTACTTCTAAAAAGATTTTTGTACTGTCTGTTTGAAGCTTGAAAACCTGAGTAACATTCTAAATATCAAAATCAAAAACGGTTTTATGCGAATCCTCTACATAATGATTCCAAAACATACATGAATAAAAATGTCTATTTTTCAATGGGAAAAGCTATGAAAAAAGCTTTGTCAACAATGTCGTCAAAAGTACGCCAACTCTGGTGCAATTGAGCACTACCACTACTACTGCACTGGCTCAGAGTCACATCCGTCGACATTTAGTCCAAGAGGACTAATTAGAACTTACCCCTTTTGTGCGTCAACCACTGTCATCACTAAGACTACCACGACCACAAACACCAACAGAACATCAATCGGGACCGTCAACAGTCTCATTCAAAATGAAGATTTCAATTTGCAAGTGTACTTTTCAACTCCCAGTGGACGTCGTCTTAAATTGAGTCAATCAAGACCAAACAATACTAATTGCAATCAGTGCGCCCAGTGCCTAATTGCAATTGAATTGGCTGTCTGCCTGCTTTTCAGCGAGTTCTCTTGGGTGCGTCACCGTGAGAGACCTCAGTCCAATGTACTGAAAGGGGCAGATTGTTCAGGTTGTAATTAGTG